CAGAATCTAGGATGTGCAAAAGAATTCAGAGGGTGAACAGTTCAACTCTTACCTGACCAGGAACCCCTTCTCCAACAAGTGGCCTCCATGTAGCCTTTCTTCTTTAAGATCTCAAGTACAGGGAACTTCTTAGCTTAAGAGGTAGCCCTTTCTCTTAGACAACTCAATTAGATATTTTATTTACATCATCCCTAAATCTGCACCTGCACGTCCTCCCCACTGCTCCTAGTTCTACCTCTTAGGGGGACACACAGCAAGTCAAATGTTCTTCTTCATCATAGCCCCTGAAACACCTGAAGACAACTACCATGCTCTCCCTGGTTCCTCACTACCTTGGTCACAATTGTCCAGATTTTTCGTAAAACACAGGCCCCAAAACAGATCATGGTCCCGTGACTGCCTTTGGAAGATACACAGTGGCTTTTCTTGTGGTCACCCGTAGTCTAGGAGTACAGGAATTACCTTTCAGTTAACACCAAGAGGTCAGTTTCAAAAGGCCCAGGAGCCTTTCTCCAATTCAGCCACATCTTTCCCAAGGTCCACTGCCTTGAAGGGTACTGAAACAAGGCCATGGGTTCCCAGCCCAGCATGTCCGTGCTCATAGGAAGCAAAGGTCACAGAGTTTAAATTCTTGCCTCATGGGTGAATCCTCAACAACTCCAATACTTGGTTCCTTCCTTCTCCTAAAACCAGCCCCTTAAACAAGGCAGAGGCTGAGTTCAGTGCCAGATTAATGGCCACAGAGCATGGGCCTGAGGTACTAGTTAAGCCCTGGCCAGGCACAGAACTGCAACACACCTTCCAGAGAAGGAACTTTGGGCTAAAAAGGTGAGGGCAGCACTGTGTGGACAATGGCACCCTCACTGCTCAACAGGCTGCCCTAGTTTAAACAACAATTGCAAGGACTATGTGTGTTTATTCAATCAGATTATCCAACTAAACAGGAAAAAGGAAAACAATGAAAAAATTGACCAAAGAGCATTCCAAACACTTTCTTCCTTGGAGCTCTCCAAACTTCTAGTCAGGTCTGAGAGTGTACATTCATTCCCTGTGTGGTGCCCCCCCCTTTAAAAATTTCTTAAAGGTTAATTAATAGCAAAGACAAAGTTAAAAGAACTTCTCATTCTTGATGACAGCTGAGAAGGAAATGGCTTATCTGGAAAGCTAATCTTCACTTTGGAGGTAATTAAAATATAAAGGTTTTTAAAGAAAATACCAACACCAAAGCCCAAAAGCCATCCTTTCCCATAAGAAATCGAGCTCTTTGGGAAAAAAGGCCACATACGTCCCCTTGTGGCCATGAGAGGGAATGCCATGTACTGCTTGTGTCAAGAACAGTGCAGGTCCTTGGACAGGAAATGAATGAGAGGCTGAAGGATTTATTTAGAGCCCTAGAGCCTGGTCTGGACAAACAGCTGGCTTCTGCCTCCCAGGGTAACAGTCTTTACAAGCCAGAAGTGGCAAGGCCATATTAAAGCATCAGGTCCTAAGAGAAGTAGATTGGCATCCTAACCAAACACTTTCAAACAGGACAAACTGCCGAGCTTCAGAACATTTGTATTACAGCATCTATTCAGTCCCCCATGTCAAGGACCAAACACATGACCTACAGAAGATCGAGTGGCATGTATTCAAGGTGCTCTCGCCTCCAGGAAAGGCATGAGACAAAAGCTCTGGACAATCTTAACATCCTGCTGGGAGATTCTCCCACTCCATGAGGCAAATGTGAAACAGGACCTCCTAGGACTGGGAGACAACCAAACCATCATTATACATATATATATGTCTATGTATATGTGTAGCTGAAACAAATGAGGCATCACACACTTCAGCCTTGTCGGCTCTTCAGCACCACTCAAGAAGAGCTGGTCAAGAGCTAAAAGCTGAAGAACGCCGGGCTTCAGGCTGCCTATCCAAGTATGGAAAAACAATGTATTTCAAGGCAGTTCTAGTCCCAGCAGCGCTCAAGCAGACATCTTGGGTTTCAGACTCAACAGGGGAGATCCTTCCAAATACCTATGCCAAGCTGGCACGCCTAGGATCTAGCTGCTTGAGCGCCCCCCTGCTGATGTGCCTCCATGGCCAGCTCATATCCGGCATTCTTCTACACTACATCGTACACTTTGTAGAACTCCCAAGCCGTGTCACACCACGACAAAGGGCCTGCAGGGTCCATGCTTACAAGATCTGCCAACACTGGCATTATCACCTAGTGTCTTCTTTAGGGGGGTCTCTGATCCACTAACTTATCAACTACATGTTCTCAGAGTTGCTGTATCATAGTATCAAACATCCCCATTGCTATTAAACCAGGTTATTACACTGGCTCTCAACAGTGTACAAGATGGAATGTTGTTAGTTATGGAACCAACTTCACTTAACATTAAACATGAACTGAAACCAGAATGGGTTCTAAGAAAGTGGGTCGAGGATGTAATTTCAATGTCAACAGCATCCTCGCACTTAGCCAGCTTCTTCAAAATGCCACTAACAGAAATGGCTAAGGGGTTAGCCACAAACCTAAGTTCAATGAGACCAATCAGGCCATGTGACATGTCAGCACTTTTCTCTCTTTTGAATGCAGCCCACAGCCTGAGCATTCCAGACCTATTCCAAAGGTCTTCAACAGGGTTATCGGCTAATCAGGCAATACATATGTCAGATACGGTAGATGAGTCAGCAGCCTACAAGGCACGGATCATGGAAAGACTACTGACACCTTCTCTGTCCAGAATAAGCCCAAAGCAATTTTACAATTCTGGCTGCACACTTGAAGGAGCAAATACACTAAGGTAAGTCACTTGGAGGATTAAAACAGGAGGAGTATCAATGCCTTTGTTCCCGAACAATTTGCATTCAAGTTGGCTTCAACACCCACATCAGAAGATTTTTCAAATTCAATTCTATTCATTCCTGATGAACCTCTACATCACATGCACACAAGGAGAACAGGCAAGAGACCACAGTGCACCTGGGATCAAATACATACGTCAAAGTCAAAAAAGGGTGAAGTAACGGGGTTGAGTCAGGCAAGAGCGGCAAGCATGGCCTGCTTCAGTGCCACGGACATAAAAATCTGGCAAGGACGGGAGGCACGCTTCAAGAGCAAACCTGGCAAACAGGGTTCCATAGGGAGGCTGGTGGGATGGGAAAAGGGAGAGAACTTCTGAAAGCACATACATTCCTTCAGGGAACATGGGCAGCTGCGGTCAAAGCAAGCTCACCTTCCCTCTCCCAGCCAATTACCAAATACAAGGGAACCAGCACCAGGGGCAGAGGAGCACATCAAGGGAAGCCTATAAAGACAGCCACCTAATACACAGACCTCTCTTTGGAAAGGCCCGGACCTCTAGACTTGACAGTCAGCCTCATGCTGAGTTTAGGAGCCTAACCAACCATATGCTCTGGAACAAAAATCTACTCCTTCAAAGAAGAGAGACATCCAACCCCACCTCCCTCTAGCCCAACTGGAAAATATGTGCTCACACAAAAACATTTTAAAAATAACTAACTGGTTGTTTTATGAATTTCAATGTTCTATAAATGGGGAAAACACTGCCAGCTTCCCTGAGCCAAAAGTAGCCTATTCTTTCCCAATGAGACATTTAAAATCGAGATGGATTCGAATACAGACAAGCTCCAACTTGCTTCCACATGATTTTAAATAGAAGTATAATCCTAGTTTAACTCCTCTAAAATCAAAAGGCTTCCATGGGAGAGTTCATACGCCCTCCCACAGAACCTGGGGCAGCCTAGGAATCACCCACAATGACACCAGGTCCCTGGATCCAGAGCCACAGGCCCTGCTACTTACTAGGATGGTAGTTGAGTTACTCACCAGCTCCAGGTCTGTTTCCTCATCTGAGAAACAAAAGGGTTGGACTACACTTCCAAAACACCTCTCCCTTCTAAAATCCTATCCTCTAGAGGGAGCTGATGATGTAGTAGACAGAGCACTGGGTCTGGAGTCAGGAGGAGCTGAGTCAAACTCCAGCCTCAGAGATGTACTAATTGTGTGACCCTGGTCAAGTCACCTAACCTGTCTGCCACAGTCTCCTCAACTGCAAAATGGGGACCACAATCACCTGCCTCACAGGGCGGCTGGGAGGGTCAAATGAGAGAATGGTAGAAGCACTTAGCACACTTTCTTGGCAGACAGTAGGTGCTTTATAGATGCTCATTCTCTCTCTCCTATGATGAAAACAGCAAGCACTGCTTTCTGTTTTAGATGTGAAGAGCTATCCTTTAACAACTACTGCAAACACTGGGAATTATGCCCTAATGTTAGGCAGCATGGGTTTAGGCCCTAGCACCGCTCCTAATGAGTTCCACAGCTGAACACAGCATGTGTGCAACACAGGCACGGGGTTGGGGCGGGAGGGGCGGGGTGCAGCACAGCGTGAGGCTGACCGCTCTGAGATCCCTTCTAGCTGACAGGACACCACAGGCACAGGCTGTAACAGTGAGGCCAACGGCCATGGGTGCTCAGGGCGGCTTTCCCTTGACCCTAATAAAAAACCTTTTCCCCAGAGGAAGGGAGAGGGAACAATATATATAGTTACATATGTGTGTGTGTGTGTGTGTGTGTGTGTGTGTGTATACAGAGAGACAGAGAGAGAAAGAGAGAGAGAGAGAGAGAGAGAGAGAGAGAGAGAGAGAGAGAGAGAGAGAGAGAGAGAGAGAGAGAGAGAGAGCTCTAGGCAGATAAAACCTCAGAACTGGAACAACGCAGCCTGGTGAACACAGAGTTGGTCTTGGAGAAGAGAAGACCACATGGTGCTTAAAGACAAAACCCAAGCCTTTCCCACCCTTAACAGAACCCAAAGCATTCTTACTGGAACGCTTGTTTTGAGAAGGGGGTCACATTAGGAATCCAAATTCTACTGCAAGTAAGAAAATATAGTGAGGATGAGAGTTGACTCTTTAGATTACAATGTTCAATCAATTTACCCGTCAACAAATGTCCAGCACTTGATTTGTCAACAGAGTACAATGACAACAAATGGACAACAAACGTGTATTCCTACTTTCTGACAACTTCAAATCAATCACAGGCAGCTCCCTGCAACAAGAAACAGGACTGACCCTTTACATTTCTGAATATTCTAAGAATGTGTGTGTGTGTGTGTGTGTGTGTGTGTGTGTGTGTGTGTGTGTGTGTGTGTACACCAAATGAATCTTCGCTGACATTTGGAAATAACTCCAGAATTGTGGAATTGATGCTGCTTAAAAAACAGTGTACACATGTTAGGGGAAAGGGTGAAGGATTCTGCTTGACTCTTAGGTTTTGGGGCAAGAGTGTTAAAGAGATGAATCCTAACTCTCTTCTTTTACTCACTAAGCACATGCCTCTTGCCAATTTAATCACCAAGAAAACCCAAGCTGAGGCCTATCTTCCTGGGAACGAATCTGAAGCGCTTTGCTCCTGTGCTCTATCAAACCCTAACTCACCATCAGACCCCTAAGGTTGGGCTCCTGCTTGCAGATATGGGAGGGGCCATGGGACTCAGATGGAAGAGTCAATCAGAAGACCAGTAAGTTCTAGTTGGGATGGCGACTCACGAACACAGCCCTTGAGGCTGCTAAGCGATCTGTCTTTTGAGTGGAGGTAATGAAACTCCAGTGCCTCTCTAAAGTAGTAGTCTCCAGAGAAGGCCTGAAGACTGCACATATCCCTGCAGGCCAAGGCACCATCTCAGCCAACATGAACAAGATGCCTGACCCAAACCTCAGATGCCACACAGACAACCTGTTGGCCTTGGAGAGCTGGTCCAACACAAAGCCAGCCAGATTTACATCCGTCCACAGTCCCAGCCTCCTGGTAGCTTTTTATTGTCACCAACATCCAGAACATTTCCTTCGGTGTCACTTCACAGCGATTCCCTGCGTCTAAACAAACAAAACAAAAAAATCCAGCCCAGGCTGACTCACTGGAATTGTCTTAAAAAAAAAAAATTCGTGCTCGTGTCATTGATTTTTCCCCTGAATTAGTAAAAAGAAGTTCTAAAAGGCAAGCTGCCCTACATCTGACTGACCCAGCTGTGCCAGGAATTTGTTTGTGGTTAACTAGCAACGAGCCTGAAAATCTGGTTGCGTAAATACGTACAGAGCTGGTTCATTAAGTCCCTGTTCTGGCCCTCGACCCAATGCATCTCTACCACTGCATCCTCGTTTGCCTCCTTCCTGACGTTTATTAAACACTTGAATAGATAATGTCCGGGAGCCCCTTGAGAATTCTTCTCTCTTTCAGCCACTGTATTGGCAACTTCTTCAGAAGAATCTAGCTCCTCAGTGGCACAGAAAGAGCCCCTAACACTTTCTAAAACCTCTGTCCTTCCCTTTTTCTCAGGCCCTTCCTCCTCCATTGGTTCTTGGCTATTATCTGGGCGGTGACTTTCAGACAAAGCCGTTTCAGCTCCACACATGGCAGGCCTGGATGGGGAGCTCTCGTCAGGGCACTTGGTGCAATCAGGGTTATTTTCCATCTCTTTGGGCACAGGTTTCTCCTCTTCCATAGCCTGAATGAAGTCTTCGGAGGCTCGAGGAACTTCTCTCAACTGCCTCACCCTGTCTCTTTTCTTTCTCCTTAAATGAACCCAAGAGTTTTCTATGGCTGTTAGGAAGAGACTAACTTCCTCTTTTCCACAGGGCACCCGTTTGTGCTGGACCTATTTGGAGGAAAAAACAAGATTTCATAGACATCAACTCTGCATCCCCTCTTGATGCCCCCAAAATAGATCAGGAGAAACATCTTCATCTCCTAAATCAAGTACCTTCAGATCAGTGAGGATTTTTTCAAGCCACGTTGTAATAACTGCTATGCCTTCCAAAGTCTCGGAGCCCACAGCAGAAGTTTTGAGGGATAACTCTTTGATGGTGGTTGCTAATACTACAAATGTAATGGGCTTCCTAGGCTTTTCTAGTTTTCTTCTCTTAGATGGAGGTGACTGAAAGAAAAAGAAGAGGGGTAGGATGGGATTAGTGGTAAAAATTATCCAAAACATCCATCCATCCACCTACACACACACACACACACACACACACACAAAATGAAATTTCACTAACACCTTAAGTGACAGAAAATAATTCAGTAAGCAATAGGTAATTTCCTTATCTGCTATGGCCAAAGTAGGCTCATACCATTCCATTCAATTCAGTAGATTTGAATAGAAGCATCTGTTAAAGATATGTGCCAGACAATGACATCCCTATATCTAGAATTGGGGATAACAAAAAAATAAATAAACAGTCCTTGCTCCTTAAGGAGTGAGAAGGGAGGGGGGAGAGACTATGTACAGAAAAGTAAACATAAAATATATATGAAGTCATTTCAAGAGTAGGAAAAGGAAGAGCACTATTGGCTGGGAGGTGGGGGAAAGGAAGGGAGGAAGGAAAGTCTCATGCAAGAGACAGGACTTCACTCCAGGAAAGAACAAGAGCCCTGGGGACATAATGTGCCCTTTTCTAAAGCATGCATGCACCCCGATCATCAATTTCTAATTTGTGTTTCAATGTCAGCAGGAGCTTGGAACGAGCCAGAGATTTCCAGGGTTTGTCTTTCAATACCAATGAGAGCCACAGGTATCATATGTTGAATCCTGCTGGATATCACTAACAAGCTAATGAGCTGCACACAGATACTATCCTTCATGGAACCAATGGATTCTTCATCTCTCAAAATCTCCCTGTAAATGCTGACCTTGGAAGCTGGTTTTACCCAAACTAAGCTTGTCAGTCTGTCATCCCTTCCTTTCCTCCTCCTCAAGCATGGAATCGAAATCTTTCCTGGCCATACCCACTAGAGGGACTCAAACTCCACATTCAAGTTCAATTACGTCACCATATTTTTTTTCTCTTAAAAATGAAATGAAAGCATCTCCCTAGATTGGTCTTACACAGAAGCAATATTTTAAAAACACATTTTATGGCTATTTAGCTCCAAAAAAGAAGACATCTTACTATATTCAGAATTGATCAGAGACTTAAAACTCAAACAGTAAAAAGATGAAGACAGGAATGAAGACATTAGAGACAGAGCAGAGCCCAAGCACAAAGACCAGAAGGTCAAACAGTTTTGAAACGCTGCAATTCCAATGCTATTTTCAGACAAGCCTAGACCCACATTTCACAGAGGAGTTAACAGAACAAAAAGAACCAATGACTTGTTGAAGGTCCCAGGGGTGTTACAAGCAAAACCACTTTTACTAGATCAGAACTGTTTTAGGCAGAAAACAAAGTACAAGAGAGGACCTGGCATGCAAAGATAACGGGAACCCACTCTGAGGCTGCAAGTTTCTTCCTCCAATACAAACACATTGGGGAAAGCCATTATATTTCTATACTAAGGAATTTTCAATGTAACAATTTCCAACAACTCTTCAAGGTTTCTCTTTAAGTTAGCAAGAAGATTAAATAAAAGATCATTACATAAAGAAATGCTTTAAAACAACAACAACAACAACGTGATTTGATTGAGTTTACCAGAAAGGGATGGAAACCGAGGAAACAAGTCAATCAAAAGCACTCTGGGGAAATGACAAACAGTGGATTCTGGGCTGTGCCCAAGCCTGGGCTTGCTTAGCTAATATTTTCAGACAAGATCAGGCCGATTCAGGTTTGACATTAAGATTCAGGTGGTGGTATAATGACTTAATAACATAGCAAGGGAAAAAGTAACCACTCATGAGTGTACCTGCAGCTTTCAAGTATCTCCTGCCAAGAACATAAAAATCCAAGTATTGAACTAGTTACAATGTATTTGAAGCTGTAAAAAGTGGTAACAGAATCAAGTTCCATATTTCAACTTTAAACATTAGAGAAAGAGTGAGAGAATATGTGTTATGCATTATGCATTATGCCCTGTGACACAACAAAGACCTTATGGGAAGGAATTACTACCCATGTGCCACTCCTGTGATTCATTTTGGTTCTTTCAAATGCCTGACCAGAGTATGGCGAAACATGGAGATACAAGATAGCAGCAGTGTGGCTTCCTGAAGCTACTCCACTAGTACTGATAGGTCCTGACCCATTTGACTTGAATACTGTTTCTGTCTGAGTGAAGTAGGATTTCCCAGAGAAACACCCCCTGCCACCACAACCCCCACTCCCCACCCACCCAATTCTAGAGATGGATGGAGCCAAAAAGGGAAGGACTCTAAAACCTTGCTAATTTAGTCTTCTTGTTTTTACCTGCTTTTCCAAAGTCTAAGGGAGGTAAGATCCAACAAGACAGAAACATTAAACTGCTGGTCTAGGTTTAAATAATAGAACTTCCCTGTCCCAAATGGGGCTGCTCTATCCAGTACTCCAATTCTAATCTTCCCTACACAAAGCTCTGCCCTAGGATATTATGTCATCAGAAATGTCAGATTTGCTAACAGCAGCTCATTCATTAAAAAAGAAAAAATACTTTAAATCAAGTTTTATGCCAACAGGCTGACAATTTCACTAAATTTCCAAGCAAGATTTTAATATAAATTAATGATTATAAACTTCAACATTGTTCAGAACAATTCTCCTTCTCCCCATCCTGATGTGGACTCTGACATATTGAAAATCCTTATTTTACTCAGCAGGGTCACATTAAAATGCAATAAATTGCAAGAGCAGGTCTTAAGAAATCACCACTTATATTTATCCACAAAGATCCCTTATATTAGCATTGTTTCATGCCTCTTCACAAGTGTTCAATGAATGGGAAATCTTATGGATGGCTTGGTCTCTCCACCCACAATTAAAATGTGACTTATTTTGCTAACATTAAGATCTAAAGTCATCATCATAGAGATCTGTTTCAAGTCCTCAAACAGCAACAGTCCAATTCAGGCAAGGTGCACTTAAATAATTCAACATTTTAAAGTATAAAAATCAATGCTTTATACTGGGTAATCCAGCTTAATACAAAGGCCCAGAGCCCACTCTACAACTCATGTCAGATTAGAAGGTCCCCTCCCCATAATACCGTTCAGCTGAAATTACAGTATGAAATCAGTCCCTTGGGTCATTTGCTCTCCAAAAAAGATGCCTATTTCTGTCAAAAACTGCATGGATTTAGTGGTTTACACAATAATTTTACTTGCTATTTGGTGACACGTTCAGAACACAAAGAATTGGGGGAGGAGTATTACAGTAAGTTAAAATGACGATTATTTGCTTAAAGAATTTACTTAAAACCTACAAATTTTAAGTTTTAAGATTTATGAGTTTCAAGATTCCTTACACTCCTACTTTTGCCATCACTTATAGATTTAACAATATCTGTGAATGAGGTCTTAAGTGAGATGCGTCATAGCTTATAGACTGTGACACATGGCCCTGGCCTGTTTGTTATAATCAACAGCAAATCCCAAGAAAACCAGCACAAAATTAAGTGCTCTGATTTTAAAAGAGGTAGAGAGAAGCAGAGGGGAGAAAAGGAGAGTGAGAGAGGGAAAGGGGGAATAGAAAGAGGAAGAAAGAAGAAAAGAGGGAGGGGAAGAGGAAGGGAAAGGAGGTAAGGTGGAGAAGGCTACTTGAGAAAAATCCTGAGAATGAAGACTCTTTGTGCCCAGGTTCTGGCAGATAAGAGTTGGTAGAAGCAGGAGACTGGCTCAGAAAAAGGACAACTGAGGTGGGGAGGGATGAGTAGCAAGGAGCCCAGCACTGCCTCAATGCCTCTGAAGTTGTTACAGAGGTAAGAATAGAAAAAGTCATCTCGGCAACACAACACGTTCTCTGCCACTCTTTACAGAAACTGAATTTGGATGCTCTTCCAAAAGGACCACAGCCAACACAAGCACTTTATGGGCAAAGACTGGAACATCTGGGTGGACACAGCTGGTACATTTTATAGAAAAGTCCTACATGATTCACTCAAATTTTATTGAGTGCCTACTATGTGCATATGTACCTAGTAAGAACTATCCTATGAACTTAATAGAGCTAAAAGAAATCCGAATCAGTACTCAGAATGCAGCTAAGCAAAAAGTGAAAGTGCATACTGATTGAAGAAAGCTACATACCGATTTTTTTTTCTTTAAAAGAAACATGCCAGAATTTATATAACCCAATGCACATTGGTCCCTTCAAAGCAATCACTGTGTAGCTATCCCTTAGTTCAAGTCTGAACCAATTTAAATAGTTTAAATGAGTCACAGGAGGAACTAACCTCAATAGTTTATGGTCACACCTTCCTTTTTAGAAGACTACAACCCAGTTTCTCCACTCAAGTCCAAATCCCCATCATGGAACAGGGTTCTCTTCAAAGACAGCTGAAAAGTCTTGGAGCACCGTCCTGGAAGCCAACTGTCACCTGAGAACCAGGAGAAATTAGCCAGCAGGGGAAGAATCTGTTTTTAACTCACTATAACTAATGATGCTACGTACTCACTAAGTCAAGAAGGGATAGTGATCACCATCAGCGGAAGGAAAATCCTCAGAGATAAAAACCGCAGCTCTTGTCCAGCTGGGGTATGACTATGACCCAACTTGGTTATTTACTTTTTTCACCAAACATGGCTCTGAATGACTTATATATAGGCTGCTCGAAAACCTACCTTCAAAGACTCAAAATTTGTCCTCATGAGGTTATATTCTGAAGGGATTCCCAAAGAGAAATTCCAAAGAAGTTCTGAGAAAAAGGACAACATTTAAAAGGATCACAGACATTGTGATGTATTTCTGGCCTCAGTAGTAAGGGAAAAATTAAATTCAATTGTGACTTCTTCTCAAGATGCTTGGGAAGTATCAGACACATAGTAGGCACTTAATACATCTTTCTGACCTACTCTGCCCTTGTTTTTATCTTTCATTGTCTTGTTTACACTAACGTGGGTTACAAAATTAAACATAAATGCCTTTTTTGATGTGGGCAGGGGAAAAATCCTTAACATAAAATAAAAAATCACCACCCTTGGCTGCAGAAGGTCAGGTACATTAAAAACTCAGTCTCTTGCCGCTGTCCTGA